CAGACCTTAGATCCATCACAGGGAAGACAGAAACCACAAGCACAGGTGCTCTGGGAACTTGGTCTGGCACTCTACTTTATTTTCCAGCAGCACACTAAAGGTAAACAGCCTGTCTGACATTGCCACCAACAGCCCCAACTTTACAAATAGTTCCATATTCCCCCTCTTTCCGCCAGTGCCCATACTTTCTACTCTCTTCATGTAAAATCTCTCCATAGAATTGTGTTCATAAATCCACCAGCCTGTTCCAAATAGTTACTTAGTACTTTTTACTCATTATACAGGGCTGTGGAGCTGTCAGATATTTTTGAGTCCCAAATTCCCATTCTATGGTACTTATTTCAGAATTGTGAGATACCCCTTGCAAGCATACATATAAGAATACAAAACCAATAAATAATGTAGTCAGTATTATCTAAGCAAAGCATCAGACACTGGTGTAGTATGAAACACTGAGGAGTAAGTCAACACATATGAACAAGTGAGCAAAAGCTTTAGATTTATTGTAGATATATATCTGGTTTGGAATGTGGGTTCACTCCATTGTATGAATCAACATAACAGTGATAGCTTCTTCTATTTTATATATTCTTATTTTAATATTTCTTCTGAACAGTGATATTGAAATGGTCACCCCTTAATTAAGGACCATAAGAAACTGATATGCAATGAGGAAGTTGATTAAATATCTAGCTACACCCTTAAATAATTAACAGTAAAACACGACTCATGCTTGTTAAAATTTATAGAACTCTTTAGGAAATGTGATTACATCCTTACCTAAGCTAGGAATTGATCAAAATGTATTTGATTGTAATGTAACTATACATTGCACATCCTGTTGCCATCAACTTAATGCACAGGTCACTGCAAATGGGAATACTTGGATACTGGCATTTTTAAAATTTTTTATTTATTTTCATTTAAATTAGAAACAAACCTGCTCCACATGTCAATCCCAGCTCCCTATCCCTCCACTCCTCCCCAACCTACCTCCCAACCCCACATTCTATATCCCCTCTCCTCTCCCCAGGGAGGGTAAGGCCCTCCTTGTGGGATCCCCAAAATCTGTCATATCCTCCTGGGCAGGACCTAGGCCCTCCCCCATGTATCCAAGCTGAGAGAGAATCCCTCCACGTGGGATGGGCTCCAAAAGTCCATTCCTACACTAAGGATAAATACTGATATACTACAAGAGGCCCTATAGTTTGCTGAGGCATCCTCACTGACACCTATATTCAGGGGGTTTGGACCAGTCCCATGCTGGCCTCTCAGCCATTAGTTTGGGGTCCATGAACTCCTTGTTCAGGTCAGCTATTTCTGTGGGTTTCTCCAGCCTGGTTTTGACCCCTTTGCTTATCACTCCTCCCTCTCTGCAACTGGGTTCCAGGAGTTCAGTTCAGTGTTTAGCTGTGGTTGTCTGACTCTGCTTCTATTAGCATTTTAAAAGTAATCATTAGCACTTAAAATTCTTAGTAAATTTCTAATGCCCCAGTAATTTCCAAATTTTGCAAAAACCTGATTGGTGATAGAATTTTCCAAGTAAATCAAGTTTATTTCAATAACTATGGAAAATACTTTAAAAATAAATAATTCGTTATTGTTATTCATTATAGAAGTAATTAACCCTCATTAGAGTGCACATCAATATGTGAACATACTGGTATGAATTGTTATTAATTTGCATATAAATATTTAACATTTTGTCACACTTGTTATAATGTATGCTCTTTCAGATGCTATTATTCCCTGAGCATAAATTTCATAACTTATCCATTTGAAAAGTACTAAAGTTAAACTAACTTTTTCTAATATATAATTAATCCACAATAATATAACTTGCTTTCTTTTGTTTTATTGATAGAATTTAATTTATATTTGTGTATAAATTAAAATTATACATAGTTTTAAACATCCTTGATTATTATATACATTGAACACTAAAATCTGTATTATTAAGCTAAATGGTAAATCTTTTACAAGAATTGCTTGATAGTAAAATTCCAAATCTATTTACATATGTATTCTTTTAAATGTCTTGAAGAACTAATTTAAAAAGTTGTATTGTTTCTTTTGTTGATCTGGGAATTCTGTATATGAGGTCCTTTCATTATCATGTTTTCATTAATGTTTCCCATGTTATTTAATTAAAGAAGGTATGAAATAATTTTAATGTCATTACTTTTTAATAATATTTCCTAGTTTGGGGGAAGACTGTTCCCTACTGTGACATATGAATGGAATGTATATACCTTTTACTTTTGACAAAGATACACTGGGGCACAGAATATTCCTGTCACCTCAGGACATTCATTCTCTTCCACCATGTTCTAGCTATTCATCACTCAGAAGCAAACACAGATCTGGTTTCTAGCACTTGGGATATTTTTGCCTGTAATAGTAGGCTCTTGTGAATTGGCAGAAACCAGCTTCAGCAGAGTGCTAATTTCCTCCATCTGTGAATTTCTTTTTTTATTACTTCACCTAAAAATATTATGGTGATCTTGGCATTCATAAATTTGAGTTTTTGATGTATTATGGCTGATTTCTTTTTATAGTTCATGCTTTTAGTGTTGTAAGAAAGAGTTGTCTTTAATTTCACTCATATTAAATTAATTCTTTAGTACACACTAGAGACTCAGATTCTGTTGTGTGACAAAACTTTTTCTAGTGAGAAACAACACATAGGTCTACTCATCCCAGATAGGGATCCCATGATAGGGCAAAGTTTGGAGAGCACCAAATTCCAAGTTGGAGAACCAATGAGTTTTATGATAATTACTTACAGAAATACGGATGGAGGGTTACTTACAGGAGCAGAAATCACTGTAAGTCAGGTGCAACACCAAAGCCCACCCTAGCAAGGGTGTCAGCTAACAAAACATTGCAACATGGATCACACTGCACCAATTAGTGTGCTCTTCCCTGGGGGAGACTATTTCTCTCCCTCTCAGTATTCCTTAGCTGCCTCTAGTTCCTTGTGTAGTGTTGAGGCCCTGTGGTCTTTCCTCCTTGCATGATACATCTGCTGTTGGCCTTTGGCTCATGATTAGCCAGGGTGCTGGACAGTGTTGTGTCACAGTAACAGACAAATAAACTAAAAAAGCTATCCGGTATGTTTGCTACTTCAATGAACTAATAACCACCTGTTCTGGCTCAATAATTATGTATAGATTTGTGAAATACATAATTAGAGTCACATCTACAAATTCCTCGCTTAAGATTAACAAGAATTCTTCTCAGGCAGGGATTTTTAGCTTTGGTGGTATTATAATTTCAAGTCTGTTGTAAAGTTTATACAGGAATTTCTTTTGCTTTATTTTTCACTTATGCTTCTTTTAAAGAGGGAAACATATACTTTACTATACAGGTCTTGCACATAATTTAATGTTTCCATATCCTGGAGTACATATTGAAAATTTTCTTTCAGATTACAGACAAATCCAGGGTATCATGAAATTTGAAACAGAATTGTAATACACTGAGGGATTACATTATCTGTTTGAATAGAAATCATATGCAATTCCAGTTATTTGAAGTGAAGTCAAAGAGTTTATACTAGATACACACGTGGATATCTTTCTACCTGCAAGCTTAATTTATTCACCTCCCCTATTTCCTTAGCTCTTGAAAAATCTTTATCAGCCACAGTTTTAACATCCTAAACTTTGAATAGGGAGTGTTATGTTACAAAGCATAGTTATGGAGGTGTACCACAGCAACCAGAAAACAATTAGATAAATGGAAATCTGAGTGAGTATGGGAGAGGATAAGAATATTTTAAAAAATTACAAAAGAGTTGCGGAAATTCTTTGATGACTCTGTAAAAACTCTCCAAAAGAGCAACATCTGGCATATAGATATATGCATATGTATATATGCTTTTGATCAGTCAGCAAGAAATGATTTGGTTTCTCATTTTAGTTGCAAAGAAAATACAGTCTTTTAAGAGACTATGAGATAATGATGCTTGTTAACAACATTGGTCTCAGTAGCAGCAACAATATAATCACCAAGGGCTCTCATGACATGCTTTTACCAGTGCTATTAATTTATATAATACTGGTAACTCTGTAAATTCTTTTAAAAAGAAGAACCAAGTTCTATAATACTAATTGAATGTCACAGATTTTCTCCTTTTGTGATTCTAGATTTGTTGCTTGCAAAGATAATTTTGTAGTTAGATGAAATGGGCTGATGATTAGTTAAACGTTACTACAAATTTAACCTAAAACATCATATTAAACAATATATTACAAGATAAGACTTGTTTTGTTAGTATTACTAATCAAGACTATGAAGATTTGAGACACACCAGTGAAATTAAATAGCATTGATTTAGGTAAAAACATACCTTCTCACCAGTAGGAATATTAATCAAATACTCTAAAGGATTTCATATCCAGATAAACCAAATTTGTTAATATATGATCTATATTAGACATCCAAGATGATAAAATGTTATTCATTCAAAAGCCATATGTATAAAATACAAAAACTACCTAAGTTTTTTAGACACTATCAATAAACCAGGAACTTGGGCTGAACATCAGAATTTTCTCTAGTTACTACACCACTAAAATTAATAACCTGTTGATAAGTTGCTTTCTTTTTGCAATATTTTTAGTAATTCTCTAAGAATCATATATTGTATTTTTGTTATATTCACTTCTGTCCCTTAACTCTTCCCAGAATCACCTGATTCTATAACCACCAAACTTTGTGTCCTCATTTATTTTTATAACTCATCCATCATTTCTGTCATTGTCAACATGTTCTGCTCATATACTTTTGGATGTGTGGCTTTCATGGGAATTTGCTCAGGACCAGAAGTCACAACCTTAAAGAAAATAAACTCTTCAAAGCATGAATATTCTGAAACATCTCTGAATTTCTCTGCAGTGTAAGCCCACCTGACATAATAGAAAAGTAGGTAGTCACTCACCATTCTGTTCCCGGTAGGTCAGGCTCCCCTAGACTGATGTCATTCAGCCTTGTCCCCAGGCATTCCATGCAAAGGTGTTTGCACCACTCCTCAGCCTCCAGCTCTGAAAGTGAGCACACATGTCAGAACAGGGGAAATGTAGTGGTAGAATGCTTCCTGAACTTCCCCTGAGAAGCTGGTAGGACTTGATTAAAGAAAGCTGTATTGTGGAATCAGGGAAATTTTCCACAATTGTTTCTAATTTATTATTTTGGTGTGTGTGTGTGTGTGTGTGTGTGTGTGTGTGTGTGGGTATGTGTCCAACAAAACCAAAGGAGGCATCAGAGCTCCTGCTGCTAGGGTTATAGGCTATTGTAAACTGCCTTATATGCATGCAAAGAATGGAACTTAGGTCTTCTGAAAAAGCAGCATGTGCTCTTAAGCACTGAGTCATTTCTCAGACCTCACAATTGTAATTGATTTGTTGATATTGATATCTTCTGAACCATAAGCCAAAATAAATAAGTCCTCCCTTTCAGTAATGTTTGTTATCATAGTAATAACAAAGTGATCAACACACTCTACAAAGTATCTTTCAAATAACTTAATCACTCATTATTCTTGTTGGATTTACCTCACAATTTCATTGTTTTCAAAAGATACTCTTTATAGAAATACCAAAGTATCTCCCACATACCCAGAATCCCATAATATTTTGAAAGTTCTTGGGCTTTTGTTTACAAGAACTACTAAAGTTCTAGTATGAGATCACTGTGGATGAGGAATCAGTATGATGACAGAATAGGAGCCAAGTAATCTAGTAAAGCTACTTTGCTGAATTTTTGTTAAGGTATAAAGTTTAATATTTAGGGGCAATCATCAATATCACAATAGAAAAATTGGACCCAAACTTTTGCCTTGGCAACTGCTCATAGAAGTTTCTGACTTTTCCATGCCACATAAATCTGCAGTAGAACTATGTAATATAGATTTCCATCAAATCTCTTGCTCTTTGTGGATGACATTACAACCTTTGCTTTGACATTTTAAACTCCCCATAAAAAGTTATCTGTGACAGGTTTTCTAGACTTCAGGGATTTTAATATCAAGTTCTTTCGTACCATCGGGCCAACTCTAGCAAGGTCAAATGATCCTTCCCTCCTGAGTTTGATTACACTGCCTTAACATCAAATAGGTTTGATTAAGGTAATGCCATGACAGATTTGCTGCTGCTTTTTAGTTTTATGTAGACTACAACATTCACTAGAACATGAAGCAAAAAGATCCTGCATTTTACCACATAATAAAAACATTGGCCCTGACATTCTAATTATAGGAGGCATTATAACTACCTCTGCTGCTGTTGAGATATTTTAGCATTTATGATTTTGTATCTGTCTCATTAGAGTCAGATTCCTGCTCATCTCTGCATGTGGGTATGGTAGCCATTTTAGGAATATTTATTAGAAACTGATAATGTCCTTCCTTCAAGGCTGAGAATACCATGACAGTAAATAAATAGTCACTAAAGCCTCAAAAATTGTAGGGATAGTTACAGCATCCTTTTCCTGACCTTTGGATATACTGAAAATCTTCAAGTCATTACCTGAAACCTACAGTCCAATTGGATTCTAGGAACAAGGAAGCTTAGAGGAGAGGCACTTCCTTATGAAACTGCTCTTCATCAATGGGAACAACTGCCCAGTGATGAGAACTACTGCCCCATAATGGGAACAGCTGCCCCATGATGGGAGCACAGCCTGCTCTAGTATGCAAGAGCAATCACTTCAAGATGGAATCTGGCTTGTTCCTTCAAGCAATGATCCTCAAAGTCCCTTCAAAGAACTTGAAAAAAGAAAGGTTCAACCAGACCATAGTGTGAACAAGCTAGTACTTATGCATAGCCCTGCTTCAGGTTTGCTCCTGTGTAATTCAATGTTTATACTAGTTGTCCCCAAACAAAGATAAAGATTATTGTTCTGTCATTTTATATGATCATACTGAATATTAAATTTCTTTCTTGCCTTCAGCATTGCTGTTTTCCTTTTCTTTCTGGGAGTGAGTTTCTGGATATGATTTATTGGGACCTCCCTACCGCCAGAATTGAGTTTCTGAACTGGGACTTTAGTCACCCATTCAAGTAATGTGAGTTGTACCATCACTACAAGCCTAAACCCACTTCTTCCCGGAAAGTGCCCTTCCTACTTTCAAGTCTTTTGAATATGTGTGACCTACTGAGTTTAAATGGCTTTCTTGTATAAGCCTGAATGGGAGGTTATTTCCCAGAACATAAATAATTTGAGTGTGGTTACACCACTGACAAAAGCAGCACCCTTTCCTCTAGCCAGTATTAACTGTCTTTTTTCAAATAATGCAACTAAGTTTTTTATTTGTTCTTTCTTATGTAAGTTCTGTATGTTGAAATATTTTGTTTTTATACATATTAGTTTAATTTGTTCTTTTTAAATAATTACTATTTTTCTGCGAACTTTTTCATAAGAACCCATGACTTCTTGCAAACTAGAAAAGCACCTTACAACTAGGCTGTACTCTGTGCTACTGTGTGTGTGTTTATATACATATATCATTGTTTTTCATTCTTATAAAGCTGAGGTTCCCTACAAATGGAAGTTCTATAGACCTATTGCATTTTGTCATTTGTTTTACACCTCAAACTTCTTAGTCTATATAGAATGTGCAAATAATTAAATTCCTTTGTGGATGAAGAGGCATTAAACATTCCAAAAAGTTTTCCATATTTTTCTCTTCATGAAAGGAGTGTTTTTTTTTCATTAAGCACCTTTAACCCATTAGCTTGTTGCTGAAATTTAGCTCTGAACTCTATACTAGGAACTCAAATATTTCAACATGTCTAAGATTAAATTAAGAAAGTTGGCAATTTCCTAACTGAAAATCGAAAAGTACATGGGAATAGAAAGATAAATGGACAAAGGTGAAGTTTGTGAGAAATGAGTTTGTGCAGGGGATTCTGCAATGAATAAAAAGGAGAAACTAATCAATTTGAGAATCAGCATTCATCTTTCTCAACTTTAAAAAAATGTTGATGTGATATGTCTAGTTTCATCATGTTCTTGCTGTCATGTCTTCTCCCTTCTCTGCCATGGTAGATTGTGTGTATTCTTAAACTGTAGCTGAAATGAGCTCCTTCTCTCTTAAATTGTTTGTTGTCAATATCGGAAATGGTGTTACTAAAGAAGTGACTATGGCTTGCGGTTTGTTTTGTTTTTTAAATTTTCCTCTGGCTATTTTTTTACTCTACTTCTAATACTTAAAAACTAAAATTATGTAAGCTTTCTTTGATTATGTTTCACTCATGTTCTGTACCAACTGAATTTTGCTTAGCATGTAGTGTGGTGAGAACAGATGTCAGAATATGTGGATTTCTTCAGTATATAGAAAATATTCTTATTAATTCCTTTAGAGGTCAACCTGGGCTGTGTAAAACCATCTTAAAAACAGAAAGTTGATCTAGGCAGTGGTGGTGCACCCCTTTAATCTTGGTTCTGGAAGGAAGAGCTAGGCAGATGTCTGTGAGTTTGAGGACAGCATAGTCTACATGAGTTCCAGGACAGCCAGAGCTGTTAACTCAGGGAAAAACTGTGTCTCAAAAAACAACAAAACAGCAACAAGAATAAAAAACAAAACAAAACCACAAAAGTTGAAACTAACAAGCAGAATGTCTGAATAATTTTCAGATAATGATGTTCCTATATAATAAAATATTTAAAAACAAATTGTTCTGTAAAATTATCGGTGGTCATGTGTATTCTGCTATATGTATGGCTACATTTATTTTTGTTTTTAGACAAGAGTCTTGACTATGTAAGATTGGATGCCTGGAGCTTACTGAGACCAGACACTCAGTCAGCCCCTGTTTTAGCAGCCATGACAGGCTACAGAAAAGACATGTAGGCCTCTGACACAAGGGAACTCCAGATCCCCTGGCCTCCTGGAGCCAGGGCCAAAACAACACAAAAAAACTCCAGATGCTCCCTAGCCCCCTAGATGCTTGGTTCCTGGGAACTGTTCGGCCACAAAAGATACTCCAAGGGAGACCAAAACCTCCCCATATAGTCTCCCGGATACAGTTCTAAAAACTATTGGTATCTATGTACAACAGGCTACCTGCAAGTAACAAGACAGCCACAGAAATCACAGAATGTTCCCTCTCAGGACTGAGCAATGAGAATAATCGGTACACAGGTATTTCATGCCAAAATATGACTTTGAGAAATTCTCCTAATTGTTCCCAAATGTCAACCAATTAGAAACCAACCCATACCTACTGATGTAACCCTGTGACTTTGTCTTTAAAACCTAGCAGTAGACAGGGAACTTCACCCCCTCCGGAGGCTGCTGGTCAGCCTGCTAGACAGGGTCCCTGTCATGGTTGAATGAATAAAAAAACCTTGCTTTTACAGTTCAAAAAATTCCTTTAGAATTTCATACAACATATTTTTGTCTTATTCAACATGCAATTCCCAACTCTTCCAAGATCCCTCAGCATTCCTACCCACCAAGCTTTCTGGTTTCTTTTTGCTTGTTTATTGTTTTGTTTAGATTTTTCCCAACAAGGTCAATTTGTGCTGCCAAAATATTCTTGAAGGTGTGACCTCCCTTGGGAACATGGGGGCTACACACTAGGTGATTCCCCATTTTCCCAGAAGCTATCATTTGCCAATAGCTTCTTGGCGGGGAGTGGGACTCTGTGCCAATGTCAGTCAATATGTTCTGCTGCCCTAGTATGTCTAGGACACAACTTCCTTGTGTCTAGCTTTTACATTCTTTCAGCCTTCCTAAATAATCTCTGAACAATGAGAGGAGGGATGTGGCATATATATGCTCCATTTAGAGCTGAGCATTCTACAGTTTCTTATTTGGCCAGTTGTGGGTCTAGATATTAATCATCATCTACTTCGAACTGAAGCATCTCTGATGAATATTGAGAGATCCATTAACCTGTGAGTATAATGATAAATCCAAAAGGGCTTGGTTTAATATGGTCTTCGAACATTACCAGCTGTTACCAATGCTCTTGATTACTTTCCAGGATGGCATTAAGACCCTATTTCTGAAGACACTACACACTTGAGTCATAGAACA